TAGCCAGGCCACATCAAGATGTGGGCGGCAAGATTTTTCAATTCCATGAAATATTAACATTTCATAAAATGGCTGGCCGCATCATGAATTGGTCAATTTGTAAAAATTATCAATTTGAAAATCTTAGGTTAAGACGTGGTTAAGACCTAATAATCCTCAATAAATTAATTACTGATGAAACGAAAAACAATTACAAATAATTGCAATTTCTTTATTCTAAACATGGAGCAACATTTTTATGTTTTTTATTTAAAGCCTGCACAAAGTTCTTTGATCAAAATAATATTACGATTTAGCCATCAGCTGGCTGAAAAGTTATTCTAGGTAAATTTTCTAGAATTAATTTAACGCCTTCTAGTGTAGGTCATATATATATATATATATATATATATATATATATATAGAAAATATTAAAAAATCTTTCGTAAACAAAATGACTTTTACTTCAGGCAATACCATTTATTCGGCTTAATATCACCTATTATATTAAAATTGCTGTAATACATACATGTAAACAAAATAATATTTAGAAAATCGGCAATATACGTTATTTTCTTTTCTCAAAAACATCATAATAAAATCTAAACTACTCATCCAATCTATATGGTATAAAAGACAATTTTTATGTATATTGAATTTCTACGACGATAAATATATTTATTTCAATAAGGATTTAATATCACCTACTCAAATAAATGTTTAAAGACAACGAAAAATATAAATTCACTTATACAAAGTTCTTTTTATTTTTGTGGCAAAACTTTGCACAAAATATATGATATCGCGGACTTTTTTATAGATAATTTAAGGCTCTCCAACTTTCCTTTAGAATGCATTCGTATATCTCATACCGTTTAAAAAAATAGGCGCCGTTGGAGGACTTCTCTCCCTAGGGAACCTTCTAGAGGGATAAAAAGTTATTCCTATTATCTTAGTCAGGTAATACCCTATCTGTATACCAAATTTTATCAAAATCCTTTCATTAGTTTCGGCGTGATTGACCAACAAACATCCAAACAAAGAAACTTTCACATTTATAATATTAATTATAAGATATCTAAGTTGATAAAACCTTTTTTATATAAATATCCTAGCTACTTTTACATCTAAAAATATTAAAAGTGTATATACACTTAGTATGTACAAAATGAGAAATGACAATGTATTCTGAAAAAAAAGATTACAGTGTAAAAGAACTTTTTAAAAGAAAGCACGAATTTTCAATATATACAAAACTCCTGGTTCATTTTCTTAACATAAAAAATAAAGTTTAAGATTATGGTTAATATAAATGCACGTTTCCGACATACAATAAATATAACATATGATTTTAGGAAGGCAGACAAACGACAAGTCTTACACGATCCATTTACATGTATGAGTTTCTAATTTTATCTTTTATCAGTTCACAAGGAAATCGTAAGGATCGTTCTAGTCCAAGCAATAGGTTAGATAAAAATCTATATCAACAATAATATTTACATTGTCTTTCGTTCACATCTGTTGATAACAATGCTAGTACACATTATTTTACTCGCTTTCCTCTAATGAGATTGTTTTTGATAAATAACAATAGCAAATATTTATGCTGTTGGTTGTTGGTCTATCTATATTCTGACTGCTTCAATTTGTGGCTTACAGAAGATATATTATTGTTTATGGATTCTCTTGTGACTGAATCCATTTAGTAAAATTATTACCTGTGAGCCTCCAAAGATTTGAACAAAATGGTTCCACACTCAATGCCTATGTAAAACTAGTTACTTACGTTTTATTTGAAGCATTAAAGATATAGCGTATGTTACGTGTTTTTTATGGAAAACTTTGACATCAATCTTCGGTGTTGCCAAAGAAAGAGTTTGATGTGTTATTTTACTCAATTATGACAATGAAAAGATAATTTAGAATACTGTGGTCAGTTGCGATAAAAATCATTTACGACAATTATACACCCGGTTTCTAAATTAAGAATTTAAAGATTATCACGTCTGAAATCGTACTTAACTATTTTAAACGTATCTTACACAAGTTTTCGTCACTGATTTTGTTTTTTTTAATGATCAGTTGACAGCAGTTTGAAGACACTTTGGTCATTGAACATAATCAGTTGAGATTTTGTACGTTTTTCATTTCAGAAACCGGCCATTAGACGCTCATCGTTACAATGACAATATATCATTCTATCTCAAGCGAATGTTAATAAAGAAAGAGGTACTTGCTAACGTTTAGTTGTCCAGAAAAAGAGTTAAGATCTGGCCAGACGATTACAGCATATCTGAATTGTTAAAGATGCTATCCACGATGGAATACATGTCAATAGCTAGGGCCCACTGCTGTTTTTGGACAACGCTATACCCGTGATTCATGACAGACCGTCTCTTTATTACCTTTAATTCTTCAAAAAAATAAAGGTAACTTAAAGATTTCTTCTAAAGTTTAAAAATGCTTCAACATACTACCACTTTTTACCAAATCCTTATCTGTTTACCTGTATGTTATACTACACAGGTATAAATCCACTTTCCACAATTTTTCATAATATTTACATCGACTGGTGACTGAAAGTCATTGGTATTATTCAAAAATAACCTAATATCTTTATACTACCAACCACCAAATGTGACGGGTTCGATGCTTGGACCAATTAATGAAAGGCTAACTAGCTTGAGAATGAATTTATTTAATGTATAAAGGATAAAGTAAAAAAAACTGTAACAAACAAAAAATTATTAAAAATAGTTCGTATGTTAAACTAAATATAAAATTCAAATTACATTCATACAATTATTCACATTGGGTTTCTTGATAAAAAAATATTCGGTAATATAAATATTTGGACTTAATAAGAGAAACCCAATGTGAATACATTGTGAATACATTGGGTTTCTTGTTTGGAGAAACCCAATGTGAATACATTGGGTTTCTTGATAAACACTTGGATCGTCCAAATAACAGATTAAAAAAAATATAATTTGTGCTGTTCGTAATAATTTTTTTTAAATTCAATATTAAGATTTAATAATATTTTTTACTCCATAGCGTTTCATTTTGTTAAAACACTTAATATTTACATTTATATGTGAACATTACATTTATGGAGATATGTACTTAAATAAAGCTTTAACTTCATTCAAATACATAGCTAGTATAAATTAAATTGACAAACAAATAAATTAAATAATATCGTTAAGAACTCGCTAGATTTCTTAACTTAAAAATTTCAAATACGCATAAGTTTCAAATATACATACATTGTATGTATATTTATCCACGAATTTCTGGTAAATAAGAAGTCGAATCGTAATGTTTCTTTTCTGATTTATTTTAAAATAAAAGCCCAATACTTTTGGAGATCAGGGGTAAATAGAAATAAAAAGACTTACTAAAGGCCCTTTCTTTTGTAATTTAACCCACAAAAAGGCCTTTACTGACTTCACACGATCGCCATAAGGTCGGTAATTCACAGACGTGTGTCATATCTACAAAATAACGATAAATAACGATAATTTCAGATTTCTGTTGCATAAATAACAATTAAATTTCAATTATTTTCTTTCTTTACAGTCACAAACAACAACCAACACTTGCGAATTCAACAGAACCAACATGCCGCCGCCTCCACCACTATCTCCCCTCCACGTGCATCAAGAGATATTGCAATATAACGGGTTGTGTATTCGAATTATTAACAAAATTAATGGGAAAAAGTCTAAACGACACAGGCCTTTCACAACTTTTCTCATAATATAAAGAGAGATTAACTCGAGATAATTTTACAAACAATATCATGAGAAAGGAACTCTCAAATATTGTTCATCTCAGAGAACGTAATGTCAACGTGTGGTTCCATAACATGTAGACGAAGAATGGGAACAAGGGAAGCCAACAACAGTACCCTGTTTCGTCAAATTTTGGACAACCAACACAGCAGGTACTCCCACCAAACTCTCAAAAAATCGATTTAATGTATTGGAAGGACCTCCAGTTGTTGCGTTTCAACAAACCCTTTCTGATATTTTTTTACCAGTTATTAATGGTTTTCATATAGTAATTCATCTATTTAAAATTTGAATAATAATGTTATTCATTAATACCTAAAAACTATCATCATAACATAACAGATATCCAAGCATCGTAAGAAAAGTTTTTATGTACGTGATATTATATTATTTCTTTTTACATGTTGTTGTAGTTCGCCGATTCTTTCTTCCCAAAGCTCAGTAAATAACTCACACAAGTTTATATGAAAATGAAAAATATCTTTAGCATAGATTTTGACCTGATAAAATATTGAACTGACCTATTTTAGGTTTATGTTAGATCTTATGATATGAGCATGAAGAATACGAATGATTGTGTAATAAATAACAATAAAGATATTAAATTGTCTATGACCATTGCACTCATAGCAACGGAAAACGCGGCTAAATAAGTATCATATCATTATTCATCTTCTATCCTAAGCTTCCATCTTGATTGATATATAAAATAAACTACTATCCTATTTCTATAACTTAATGTGAAATAACGGAAATCAAAGAGAAAAATACTACCTACACACTACATAACATCATACAAGTAACTGTCGTAGGGTGGTCGTAGGTATATGATTATGTTACTACAGTTTCCGTGCTACGATGGCTATATATTAATAATACTTTTAATAAATAGTTTAGCAAATCTACTTAAAGCTGTTTTGAAAAAATTAATAATATTTACCACACTTATGAATAAACATTACTTTTAAAATTTTTATTTTTGTAAATAAATCCTTAGCTAATATTAATATTAGAGTCGATTATAGAAACGTAATTTTTTATGCCATCGTCAAAGTACGAACAATAACTTCAATTAACTAATAGTTTTTCATTAAAACTAATTGCAGAGAAAACCAATATATATGGATCTATAACTTTTTTTGCGAGTCTGTTAGGAAAGTTTTTGCATAGCCACCGCATGTATATTTTTTTAAAGTATATAAAAAGATAAATCCTTAAGAAATGTCTTTCTTATATTTCAATGAAGAAGAAAAACACTACCAGAACATTTTGATGCAGATGGTAAGTGTGCTTAACATTTATGAACTCTTATGCATTATTTTGCTTTTTTCATTTCTTTTGCATTTCTCATAATTTGTTTAACATACTTAAGCCTATTAACGTCCCCACTTCTTGAGTACCAACCACAAGGACCCAATGTGGATCAATGAGCGTTAACGACTGCAGATACAGTTTTTACTTTGCTTGACCTCTAAAACTCTATCAACCTCTCCGGAACTCGTTTTTTATACTCAGTATTTCTACACTTTGAAGATTTATAGATGTAAAATTACCTTATTTATTTAAATAATAAAGAATTCCCCGACACTATCTTTGTTTGATTATATGTTAATTAACTGTTTCTGGCTCTTCATTTTACATTTTTTTATTTTCTATTTTATTAATATCTGCAATTATATGTTTGTAACTACGATTTTAAACCATAACGTGTTTTTTGGCAGGATTTGACTGGCTTCAATCCGGACACTAGTCACGCCATAGCCGGTGATGCGTCAAATCATAGCTGTAGTAACTACAATACATATACATATCCTACAGCCCAGAACGACGCAACTCAACACCAAAATTATTTGAACGTGAACCATCAACCACCACCACCAACCTACCATAGAGTAGAGCTGTATCCCAACAATGGGGACACGAATAACATGCCATACCATCAAGGATATTCCACGCAAGATCCTGGTGAAATTGTAAACCACCTTGCAATAAGAAAACCAAAACGCCACAGGACGGCATTTACAACGGACCAGTTGACAGCCCTAGAGACGGAGTATCAAATAGCACAGTATATAAAGCGTAACAGAAGGATCGAATTATCGCAAATACTAAATTTGACTGAGAGATCAATCAAAATTTGGTTTCAAAATAGAAGAATGAAGGCGAAGAAAGAAAGAGAAGCAAATTCATTGGAAACTGAAGTTTCATCATCTCGACGTAGTGAAAATTTAAATTTACAATTTGTTTATAATGAACAGGTGCCGATTGTCAGAAATTAATTTTGTTTTGTTTTATCTTTAAGCTAGTTTTAATCATTCCATAAGTTATCTTTTATTAATGTATGTATTTTAGTTACTTTTTTTCTTTTCTTGAGATTTGTCTTTTTCCTTTTCGTATTTAAGTGTTAGTTATTATATAAATTGTTAGTTTTTATTTTGTTTTAGATTGTACATCCTATCTTAAGTCTACTTACATCCTTAGTTCTTTCAAATTCTTACTTAATTATTATATCCTTTATCAATTTACGCACTTTCACAGTTTTGTTACAATAACATTATATATCATAATTTATTTTACTAAATTAAATACCATAGATGCAATTTTTTGCATTTAATTGTAGGTAGTATCATGGTTATTCTCTGTGTGAGGAGTATTAAAGATTAAGTATAACATTATTTATATGGATAAATAGGGTGGCAAATTGTTAGAGATAACGTTTGTCTGTGCATAATAAAATGGCCGAGTTGAATAAAGATTATTTTCATTTTACAAAATACATAGATTTATATGCATAAATTGGATTAATACAAACGCGCAAAAAAGTATACTTATAATGAAAAGCAATAATAATATTTTTCAAATATAAGTATTAAGGGTATATTTACTTTTTTTTATTCCGCTAATTCCCATTTTAAAAAATCCAATTACTTTATTTTTAACGTGCCTCTTTTAATCGATATAGCGAGCCCCGTACCCGTAATATTTAATAACTCTGACTCTTTTTGAAAGTATTTTATGTTTCTTTTTTTTCCGGAACTTTCAACTTCAATCATTTTAATTGTAGACTAAAGATATTATTGAAACGTGTTTTAAACGTTCTCCCATAACAACTTTTTGATCACATTGTTAGCCAAAGCAATATTAAAGTTCCAAGATCATGTAATATAAAGTATTTTGTGGTGGGTGGCGCTATGTACATTCCGCTGTTTTCCTCTAAATGTAGTTAGAAATTTCATATGGGTGCTTGTCATTAATGACGTTACTTTGAGTATAAAATAAAATCACTTTTGCGGCACCTACAAGTCAACTCCGTACTACTCCGCGCGAATTTTATAGATTTAGTACGGGAACGATTATCTCAAATGACAAGTTAGTTTATTATTTATTTACTTTCACAAATACTGTACAAAACATAATATATCAGTTTAAGAAAGGCGTCTGCTTGTCACAGAATGCGCCGTTCAACCATAACAGAATCACAATCAAAAAGTTTATCCACCGACAAATACTAAAAACATTTTTTCACATTGAACTTTAATGTGTATGGGTGTGTGTGTGTGTGTGTGTGTGTGTTTTATATGCAAAATACACAATCAATGAGTGATACAATTTCTTCACAGCTTTTATATGGTATGATAATTTTAGAACGACATTTTTTTTATGACATTTCATTTTTGTACATTGATACAATAAGTTACCAAAGGTTAAGTTCTCCAATGCATTGAGAAATGCCGAGAATGGGTTACCTTTGTATAAATTGGATTTCTCATGCCTTAAAATATGGTTAGCCATATTGGCATATGAGAGATACAAGTTTCTAAAGCTTATATACTTGGTAGAGAAATAAAGTCATGGTTGCGAAATGTCCGATTATGGACTAAGATTCAGCGTTGAAGAACTTTTATGCTTGGTTCAAGAGCGGAGCAAATTTGCTGAGCTGATGGCAAACCTCCAGTAATGGAGAGCCATATGAATAAGAAGAACGTAAGTGCAAAGACGCGTAGATTTGTAAAATGTTCCTGTTACAAAAATGTATATTTTCTGTATGAAAGCTTTATCGTGTATTAAGATTCTAACACGAAGAGCAAAAAAATTTTAATTACTTATAAAAATATTATAGTCGTACATTTACTCAAGCATATATTGAATCATTGAGCAAATATCTTTGAAAAGTCAAAACCGACTTCAAAAATTAGTTTTTTAAATAAACTGTCATGAAAATTCTATTGAAGTCGTGCGGTCAATATTATCAATCTGCACAAAATCTTCGCCCTTTTCAAGTAATATTTTTCACACTAAGTCATTCGTTTTTTAATATTAGTCAAAAATTAATCAAGTAATAAGTGAATGTGTTAAGAAATTGACTATTATAAGAATCTTAATTGTACTTTTTTCATTTACATGAAATTATGTCTGCATTTATTTCATATTTTTCATATTTGTAACCATGTTTCTAACCATTGTTTGTTTTTGCAAGATATTAATGGCTTTACTCCTGACGCTACTCGGACTACAGTCAATGATACGCCAAATAATAATTGTAACTATAATGCATACGTGCATTCTCCTACCGACGCAGTTCAGTACCAAAATATAATGACGTGAACAACAATCACCAACCACCTCCAACTTACCAAAGAGAAGGCATGTGCCCCACCAATGAAGATATGAATAACATGCCATAAAATCATGGTTATTCCATCCAAAGTCCTGGTAAATTCGTCAATCACAGTGTAGAAAGAAAACCGAAAAGACAGAACGGCGTTTACAACTAATCAATCAACGGCGCTAGAAGTAGAATCAAATAGCTCATTACACCAAGCGTGACAAAAGGATTGAATTGTCACAAATACTACAATTGACTGAAAGGTCAATAGAAAACAGTTAATGAATTAACGGCGCTTAATTACCAAAGAAAACAATACACTAAACGTAATAAGAGAATTGAGATATCACAAATGCTACAGTTGAACGAAAAGTCAATAGAAACTTGGTATCAAAATAGAAGAATGAAAACGAAGAAAGAAAGGGAAAGAATCCCAGGGAGCCATATATTGATAATGCAAGTAACATCGTCTTGTCGTAATGAAAACTAAAACAAAAGTTTGTTTACCATGAACAGATATCGATTAAACGTAATATTTTCTTTGTATTTGTATTTCAAACAAGTGAGACATTGTTTTTATGAAACTTATTCATTTCTCTTTGTTGTTAATATTTTTTTAGGGTTTTAATACTTTTTAACCTAAATTTTAAACAAACGCAAAGAAGTTGAACAGAGCCTTTGTAAAAATATTTCACTTATTTAATATTTAATTTGCATTTGTTATCGTTTATTTATTAACATTAGCCTATTCATCTCCCAATTTTGCTTTGGAACGGAGCTTTCCTATAGATGAAGTCAAATAGGGAGAAACACACCATAACCACAGTCCCATTGTGGATTAGTGGGTAGTACCGACTGTAGATGCAGTCAAGGCCGATTTAGTTAAATGCTACAAATTAACGTTCTACGTTATGCATGTCATAAGTATTTTACTTTGTAGTTGACATTCAACCATATTTACAGACTAAATGTTGAAACTTCATCATTATAAACCTAACAACAGGGGTTAAAGTTGCTCATAAGTCCTATTTCAAAATATGAATAAACATGCAGCTCGCCAGACAGAAATAGAGACCAGGTAGCTACCTCGAATATACAGTTGTCTGTACTCTTTTCCTATAGGATTTATTAAATTGCAATTCCATTGATCTGTAAGATTAGATTTATAAATATATTGTTTAGGTTTCCATACCTCAAAAAGTAAAATGTAACATTATTGTTGCTATTCCTTGTTAAGTTTTGTGATGCTTTATTTTATGTTAAGGCCATTGTTTCATGTATTACAAAAACGACAACATCCTCAATTAATCATCTCATGTGGTTGAAAAGTTATGTCCAACAAGAAAACAAGTCTACTTTATCATACGAATACCAAAGAGGTTATTCTGAATATGACATAAAAATACAATTGAAACATTGAGATAAAATCATTTGGAAAAACACTACGGCTTGAGAAAATTTGGATACGCTACCACGTCGATTGTCGCTTTGAAGTGTTATGCCACTGGTGACATTAACAGCAATCATGGCCTTTTTTCTTTTTAAACGGCGTATTAATACAGAGTTGATAACGTAATGGAATTATTCGTACTATATTAGACGCAGCTAATAACGAAGTTTATTGAGTCCATGTAAGCTCTTCTTCAGGTGGTTGAGATGCTTTATCGTATTTTGGATACGTATCAACTGTACCACGCGTATTTTCAGGAAATCGGAATTCTTGATTGATAATTGTTAGAAATACCCATGTATTTCTAACAATTATCAAGGGGCTATGGAGCCCCAACAATTTCTTGACGCTGTGTGTAATCGATAAGTTGTAAATATAGTCCTGTATTCTTTATGATTCCTTTTCACGTCACAAGATTTTCCTTTTTCCTGAAATATAAATATGTTAAAGAATATTTCTATAAATCAACACCATTATAATTGGATTATTTCCTGCATTATTTAAATTCACTTTATAAAGGTATTCAGTTTTTTCTTTAAATTCAAACCCTTTGTACTAATGTAAGAAAAGCATTATCTTATTTTTATAGGGAATTTCGATGAAATAAGAATTAACTTTATTCAGTATCAAAGATCTAACAAATCTGTTATTATCTTTACTAAATATCTATCTAAAAGAAATATTTTAAGACTCATGGGTATGCTAAAATTTAAATAAGCTATGGTAGCTTTATACGCGGATATAACAGCGTGCAATAAACGTTTAAACAATATTAAAGTAGTTTGTAACAAAAAAGTCGTTTTTTTTTGTTATAGAAATATTGACGGACTGTCACGGACCGGTTTGACCCTTTATATTTTATTGGACCCATTTCTACGTAGGTTACCTATGCTGCAAATACCAAATTCCAAATATAAATTTCTTGGATTAAGTTTTTCCTATGTAAATAGTTCCTATAAGACAAATAATACACATATAGTAACTTTTTGGTAAACAGCCTTTAACAAATGTTTTCTACATGCCATATATGACATCAGTAAATCTAGAAAACAGGTCTAATATTACGTAATGTTAGAGTTTTTTCTTACTTTATAAACTATGTCCAGAATACGGAGCGTATGGATTTACTAGAAATATGAAACATTTTTGATGACATTTTAGTCAGTCAATAACATGTTTAAGGCGTATTGACTGCGGTTATCTTAAAAATACTGTCTAAAAGTCAAACTTGTTTGTATATATACCTAGTCACTGAAAATTTAGACTTCAAGTTGACCCCACAATATAGACTTAAATAGCTTCAAGAAAAGCGCAACACGGCCGAACTCATTTCTTCTCTTTTGCTCGCCTTAGCGGAACCACTTCCTTGCTTCCAGATTTTATCACGATATAAAAAAATATAACTAACAATACATGAATAACTGTTCTCTGAAATCTCCTGGTCATCGCTATTTATACCAAAAGCACTACTTATCTCACTTGTTCCAAACCGAGAAAGATTCATTTTCTCTAAAACTAAACTGACAAAAATGAGTCACTGAGAACCAATCGCTATTATATATAACAACAGCCAAGTAATTATTGAACAATTGTAGTGGTCAATTAACCAAGTTCGGCACTAACGCGTTTCTTTAATATCAAATTTGTTTCTGTTAATTCTTATATGTTAAGCAAAAGACGGTATTTCTGATAATTATTTTATTTCTAGAAATACCGTCTGTTTACTTATTTTATAAAGTTGATTACCTTTTCCATTTTTACATTTCGATCACACAGACTTACGAGCCAATTTCAAATTATTTAGTTAGTAAATTATATCTAAGACCATTTAGTGTTTATCATTTACCATTAACTATTTATTTCTGTTACAGTTATTCAGTATGAAAAACATTTACTATTTAAAGACGTTTTTCTTGTACACCATCTTCGTATACCATAGAGTGCTTTCTCTCCCCATTGACGAATTCAAGTTTTCTTTATTTAATCATAAACTATACTCAATATCTTACAATTAGCAATAGCAGATGCTACGGTAAAGGCGAATTAATCAATCTGAAACACGAAGTCAACACGAACAAAGAAAATAAAATCTTTACAATAATACTTTCAATAAATAAATTAGATAAAAATAATTAACTGATAATTAGGGAGACCATAAAACATACAAAACATGTTTTGAAAAAATATCATAATATGGTATTTACCACATTTACCATGAATACACATTTCTTTTAAAGTTGTTGGTTTTTTTTTGTAAATAAGTCCGTATCTAATAATAATATTAGACCCCATTATAGAAATGTTATTGTTTATGCTATCGTCAAGAACGAACAATGGCTTCAATTAACTAATAGTTTTTCATTATAACTAATTGCTAAGAAAACTAATATATATGGAACTATTACTTATTTTTGCGAGTCTGTTAGCAGAGCTTTTGCATTGCCACCGCTTGTAGATTTTCGAAAGTTTAGTAAAAGATAAGTCAATAAAAAAATGTCCTTCTTATATTTCAACGAAGAACAAAAACAATACCAGAACACTTTGATGCAGATGGTAAGTGTATTTAACATGTATGAATTTTTATGTATCTTATTTATTTCTTTTACATTTATCACAATTTGTTTACATCACACGTAAGCCTATTAATGTCGCCACAATTTTTTTATATACTGGTAATTATACACTTTGAAAATTTATAGATCAAAAATAAATAATTTTTATAATAAAGAATTCATCAACATTATCTTTGTTCGATTATCTGTCAAGTATCTATTTCTGTTTCAAATTTCATTCTTTTTATTTATGTCTGCAATTATTTTCATGTATACTATAATTTCTATAATTTAATTAAACTATAATTTCTAACCATAAAATTTTTGCAGGATTTGACTGGCTTCACTCCCGACGCTAGTCAAACCACAGCCGGTGATGCGCCAAATCATAGTTGTAGTAACTACAATCCATATCCGTATCCTCCGGCCCAGCCTGATGCAAGTCAACACCAATATTATCACAACGTGAACCATCAACCACCAACACCAACCTACCATAGAGAAGAGCTGTGTCCCAACAATGGGGACACGAATAACATGCCATATCATCATGGATATTCCATGCAAGGTCCTGTTGAAATTGTAAACCAATGTGCAGTAAGAAAACCAAAACGCCACAGGACGGCGTTTACAACGGACCAGTTGACAGCACTAGAGACGGAATATCAAATAGCACAGTATATAAACCGTGAGAGAAGGATCGAATTATCGCAGATACTAAATTTGACTGAGAGATCAATCAAAATTTGGTTTCAAAATAGAAGAATGAAGACGAAGAAAGAAAGAGAAGAAAACACAACACCCCATTCTTTGGAAACTGAAATTTCATCATCTCAACGTTGTGAAAATTTAAATTTATTTAGTTAGAGATTAATTTTCTTTTGTTTTTCTTTTTAAGCTAATTTTAAATATTCCAGAAGTTATCTTTTTTTGAATGTTAGTTTTTAGTTACTTTATTTTCTTTTCTCTTCTTATCTTGAGATTGGTTTTTTCTTTTCGTATTTAATTATTTGTCATTATACACGTTGTTAGTTTTTATGTTGTTTTAAGGTGTGTCATCATCAGCCCTTTTACGTCCCCACTGCAGGGGCTCGGGCCTTCCTTATGGATGGTTAAGGAGGATGGGCCATGACCCTCCACGCTGGCCCAATGCGGATTGGAGGGTATTAACGACTGCAAATGCAGCCGGGACCAACGGCTTAACGTGCCTTCCGAAGCACGGAGTAGCTCGAGATAATAATTTTTTGGTCACCCATACCGTGACCGACCCTTGCGAAAGTTGTGTACCCTACCTTAAATCTACTTACACCCTTAGTTCTTTGTATATTCTTACTTAATTATTATTACATTTATCAATTTACTCACTTTTACAGTTTTGTTACAATAACATTATCTCATTGTCATGTCTTCGTTATAATTTGTTTTTCTTAATTAAATACTTTAGATACAAATTGTCGTTTCAATGCATTTTATTGTAGTATCATAGTTATTCTCTGTGTGAGGAGTATTAAATATTAAGAATTACATTATTTAGGTTTATATTATTTAGGTAGCGAACTGGAAGAGAGAACGGTACATAATAAAATGGCTGAGTTTAATAAATATTTTTTTATTGTTCAAAATAATAAGATTTACATACATAAATTGACATAACAAAAATGCGGCAAAAAGAAAGGTTTATTAGTAGCGGTGAGTACAAATACGTACAAATAATGAAAAGCAATAATAATGTTTTTCAAATATTAAGTATTTAGAAAGTATTTACTATATTTTTTTTTAAATAATTCCGCTCATTCACATTTTAAAAAATCCAGTAAGTTTGTCCTTATTGAATTAGGTAATGCAACCCAAATTACCTCTTACAAATACGTCTTTTAATTTTCTAATCTTCCCAATATCTTGGGTTGAATATCTTGTAACAAGCAAATCTTGTATGTGTATATAATTGAATCAATTATAACTCAATCCCGGTAACAGCTCCAACGATTTTCATGAAATCTATACTAATATTATAAAGCTGAAGAGTTTGTTTGTTTGTTTGAACGCGCTAATCTCAGGAACTACTGGTTCGAATTGAAAAATTATTTTTGTGTTGAATAGACCCTTTATCGAGGAAGGCTTTAAGGCTATATACCATCACGCTGCAACTATTAGGAGCGAAGAAATAATGGAAAACGCGGACGAAGTCGCTGGCAGCCACTTGTTTGGTATACAGGGTCTAGCTATATTTCATTTAAAAAACAGTATACATATGAAAGTACCAATGTGTATACGAGTATATATAGAAACTCAACGTGCACATATTATTACATTATTATGTACTGCTATTAATGGAATATTTTATAATTGTTAAAAAGGGTAGTTTGAAGTCGCTAACCAGTAAATTACGATCAGTTTTAAATCATCTGTAGCCGAGCACGACCCGTCAATCTACAGTCAAACTCTTTCTTTGGCAACGAATAAGATTGAAGACAAAGTTTTCCATAAAAAATACGTAATATACGCTGGTATCTTTAATGCTTCCAATGAAACGTAAGTGACTAGTTTTACATAGACATTGAGTGTGGAACCAATTCCACTAGCAGTATTTTTGCGAATCCTTTGGAGGCTCAGAGGTATTTTATTAAATGGATTCAGACACCTGAGAATACATAAACAACAATATATCTTCTGTAAGTCACAAATTGATGCAGTCAGAATATAGATATACCGACATCCAAAAGCATACATTTGCTATTGTTATTTATCAAAACAATCTCATTAGCGGAAAGCAAGTCGACCAATAATTAGTAGTATTGTTATCAACAGATGTAAACAAAAGATAATGTAAATATTATTGTTTATAAATTATATAGCTATTTTTCTAACGTATTGAGTAGGACTAGAATAAACCTTTTTCTTGTGAACTTATAGATAAAATTAGAAACTTAATATGTAAATGGATCGTCTAAGACATTGTTGTTTGTCGGCCTTCCTAAAATCATATGTTATTTTATGTCGTAAACATACATTTATTTTAACCTTAATCTTTATTTTTCATGTTAAGGAGCATCTCAGTAACACAAATAGAAAATGAACCAGGAGTTTTGTATATTTTGAAAATTCAGGAGACTTTTGCTTACACAATGCAAGTAATGCTCTAGTCGATTTGAATATAAGTTCTTTTACTCAGATGTGTACTTTTTTTTCAGTAACACATTGTCATTACTCATTTTGTACATACTCAGTGTTTTCACTTTTAGTATTTGTAGATGTAAAAGTAACAAGGATATTTATATAAGAAAGGGGCCACAAATTTTATTTTAAAACAAATTTATATATCCCTGGCAGAGTCTGGCATATTGCGTACCAATCTGGGGAGGTGCAACAAAAACTAAATTAATTGAAATTGAAAGTGCACAAAGATCATTACTAAAAGTAATGTTACCATAAAGAAGGCATGTTTTCTATCGTGGTTATTCCGTCCAAGGATCTGGTTAAATCGTCAACCACTGTGCTGTAAGAAAACCGAAACGCCACAGGAAGGCATTTACAACTAACCCATTAAGAGCGTTTGAGACAGACTATCCAATACCCCAATATATCAAGCATGATAGAAAGATTGTCACAAATATAACAATAAACCGAAAGATCAATCAAAATGCCCTATTCTAACGGTTATTCCATGGCAAGTCTGTCTAATACCGTCAACCACATCATTCTACAGAAAGAAGCCCACCACAGGACGCCACAGGACGGCGTTTACTACACATCAATTAACGGCTCTCGAGGCTAAATACCAAAGAAAATAAAACATAAAGCGTGTCAGAAGAATTATTTTGTCACAAATGCTATAGTTGACCGAAAGTTCAATGAAAGTTTGGTATCAAAATGGAAGAATGGAGGTTATTCATTAAAAACAGAAGTAAGGAAAATTTAAATATTCAGTATGTTTACTATGAAGAGATGCTAATTGTTCGTGTTTAATTTTCCGTTATTTTTCCGTTTCGTAACGGATCTTTTTTGAATTTATTTGTTGTATATTATTATTTTTTATCTCTATTTACTCACATTTACAGTTTTGTTACCATTACATTGCTTTTCATGTTTTCGTTACTATTTATCTTTAAAACGAACCCGAAACCGTAAGCGGAGACTATTTATATTGCAAACCTATAAAAATAAGACTTCTTACTTTCGTAAGAATGTGTCGTCTTTATAATGAAAATGTCCAACTCAAAACTGAATTAGGTTTATATACAACCAAGTATGTCCCTTCAAATATTAAGTTAAGTGTGTTCTTGAATCTCTTTCCAATAGCTAATAAATTAATGAACACTCTTTGAAAAAATCTGATAGCTTGGGATATTTCATGGTCGCTTTCCAGGTCGCAATTATTTTAAATTATCAATTGATAGCAGTTTGATGATACTAGGTCTTTTTGTCATGTAAAACATATAAACTTTAGTCATTGATAATAATCAGTTGAGATTTTGTACGTTTTTAATTTCAGAAACCGGCCATTAGACGCTCATCGTTACAATCACAATATATCATTATATCTCAAGCGAAAGTTAATAAAGAAGGAGGTACTTGCTAACGTTTAGTTGTCCAGAAGGAGAGTTTAGATCTGGCCGGACGATTACAGCAGATCTGAATTGTTAAAGATGCTATTCACGATGGAATAGATGTCAATAGCTAGGGCCCACTGCTGTTTTTGGACAACGCTATACCCGTAATTCATGACAGACCGTCTCTTAATTACCTTTAATTCTTCAAAAAATTAAAGGCAACTTAGAGATTTCTTCTAAAGTTTAAAAATGCTTCAACATACTACCACTTTTTACCAAATTCTTATCTGTTTACCTCTATGTTATACTACACAGGTATGTACCCACTTTCCATTATTTTTCATAATATTTACATCTACTGGTGACTGAAAAGTTATTGGTATTATTCAAAAATAACTTAATATCTATATATCTACTACCTACCATCAGAAGTCGAATCGTAATGTTTCTTTTTCTGGATTATTTTAAAATAAAATCCCAATAATTTTGGAGATCAGTGGTAAATAGAAATAAAACAAAAAACTTACTATAGGCCCTTTCTTTTCTAATGTAACCAGCAAAAATGCCTTTACTGACGTTGCAAAAATTTCAATCATCTTCTTTCTTTACAGTCACAAACAACAACCAACACTTGCAACAGAACCAACATGCCGCCGCCTTCGCCACCATCTACTCCCCAGATGCATCAAGAGATATTCCAATATAACGGGTTGTATATTAAAATTATTAACAAAATTAATAGAAAAAAGGCTAAACCACACAGGCCTTTCACAACTATTCACATAACTATGATCTGAGTCCTTGGCACGATACGACGCTTATTTTTTCTTTAACTTGTTCAATGTAACTATGTATATAGGTCTTCCTCTTTCTCTTTCCATTTTTTTTGCGTTTTCTTAATTCTATTTATAATTATCGTGTCCTTTCATCGTTCCCCTTCTGTTCTCTATTATGTTGAGCAGGCTTCTCCTTGCTTTCATCATTATGAAAACCTCATTGGCATTGCTTTCGACCCAACTGATTCCCTCCATTCTTCTCCAACACCATATTACAAACGCTTCCAATATTTTTCTTATTTTATATTATTTATATTTATTTTAATTTAATTGATAAAGTTTTAATTAAGAATTTAACTTTACTTTGATAAGTGTTTCAGATAGTTTTTTTAATGTATATCAAAAAATTTTTTAAATATAATTTAATGACGCAAAGATTTTTTGTTTTCTTATTCAAATCTCTAAATTGGTATGCAATACTAATACTATGATAAAGGTACTATAAACACTAAATCAGGTTATACAAAATTGTAATTTTTTT